GTTAATTTGGTTTGCTTTTCTATTTTTTTTTTACTGTTAACAAATTATTAGTATTAATCTCCTTTTATATTTTCCTTTTAAGCTAATAATTTATATCCAAAATTATTGTAAATTTATTTTAATTTCATTTCCTTTTCTATTTTTCCTACTTTTACTCCTAACAAATTATTAGTATTACTCTCCTAATTCGTTATTATAGTATAATAATATTTTAAATTAAATTATTTAAATTAAATCATCCTTAATTAAATTAGATCATCTATAATTAAATTACACCATCCTTAATTAAATCATTAAATCATTTAAATTAAATCAGCGTATATATTTAGTATTACAAATTACAAATTACAAATAATCATCCTTAATTAAATTATTTAAATTAAATCATCCTTAATTAAATTATTTAAATCATCCTTAAATTATTTAAATTAAATCAATCCCAATCAAATTAAATCAATCTTAATTTTAATTTCGTTTCCTAAATTATTTTTCCTACTTTTACTCCTAACAAATTATTAGTATTACTCTCCTTTTATATTTTCCTTTTATATTATTAAACCCGGAATCATCCTATTAGCCAATTATTATTACTATAAATACTATTACTATTTACTATTTACTATAATAATATAATAATAAATAATAATAATAAATATAATAATAACAATAACAATAACAATAACAATAATATAATATAATAATAATAATAATATAATAATAATAATATAATATAATAGTAATAATAATAATAATAATATAATAATAATATAATATAATAGTAATAATAATAATAATAATAATAATAATAATATAATAATAATAATACTAATAATAATAACAATAATAATTAAATCAAATGAAAGCAGACTTGAAGAATCAAACGGGCAAATTGATTAGTCTTTGTATTTAGAATTTCATAATTAAATCAAATCATCCTTAATTTGCATCCTTGATTACATAATTTAGAACACAAATTATTCATTTGTAATTTAATTACACAAATTCATAGTTATAAATACCTCATTGGTTATGCTTCTCATTCATTTGCAATCCTCTTCCTATTCTTTTCATACGCTAAACTTTTCAAATTTTCAATATGACTCCCAATTTCAATCTACTTAACCAAATCACCGCTACCTCCACGAATTGGGCGATACAAGTTCGTCTAATCCGAATGTACGAGTCAACATTCAACAATAATACCTACAATTCTCATACTTTGGAGTGTGTGTTTCATGATTCTGAGGTATATTCGTCACTTTTATTGTATATATATATATATATATATATATATATATATATATATATATATATATATATATATATATATATTCTTAATTTTACTTTTATAATTCACATGCTAATATGTTTGTTATATAACACATATTTATGTATTTCATATTCTATTATAATATCAATTTTCATCAAATTTTTACATTTTTCTAATTTAGGGTGCGCATATACATGCAACAATAAAAAAAGGCTTAAGTTAATGAATTTAAAAAAATATTTTTTGAGGGTCATTTGTACTCCATTAAAAACTTTATCGTTGCAACAAATGACATGAGATACAAAACTACGCACCACAAATACAAGATCATGTTCATGCATTCTACAAAAGTCTTTGAGTATAACAATAACGACTTTCCAAACATGACATACATGTTGAAAGCTTTCGATCAACTTGGTCTTACCCAAATTAATGCTTCCGAACTATTTGGTAATAATTATTTACGGTCCTCATTTCGTTTACCATTTCAAGTATTATATATATATATATATATATATATATATATATATATATATATATATATATATATATATATATATTTAATGTAGTTGTTATTGTTATGATGATAAATCTCTATAGATTTGGTTGGTTCTATTGTCTCGATTGAATCTCCACGTACAACCATAATTAATGGACGGGATACCAAGTTCATCCACTTTGTTCTTCAAGATCATGAGTAAGTCATGTTATATTAATCAACTTTACACTTAATCATGGATCATATGTGTTTTATAATGTGTGTACGCCTTATAACAATCTTTTTTTTTTTCTCTTCTTAGATAGAGACGTTTACCTTGCACATTTTGGGAGCAATATGTTGATCAACTATTACAGCATGTCAACTATGACAACTCTAATCCAGTTGTTCTACTCATTCAGTTTTGTCGTGCAAAAATGTACAACAGTAAGTTACTATTATGTATTCTCGAGTAAACAACCCAGGTGGTCTTAAAATATTGATTGCCAAGAACTCAAATTCCTCTATTACATCAACAACCAACGTGATATACCACGAAGTTTTCAATAATTTATAATTTTGTCACTCTTATTTTTCTATATTGTATGTTAAAGTAATTTCTTTATTATTTCTATTTTCAATTTTATATTCCTGATCCAACTTTTTATATATTACATCATCTCTTAAAATTTTCACACAGTTACACAATAAGATGAACAATATTCATCCTGTGCATCGCACAGGTATCATACTAGTTAAAATGTACAATATAATAATGTGTTTGGTATGGTGGTGAAGGAAGTGAAAAACTAGCGGCTTCATTCGGAAGTTTGAAGTTCTTTTATGCAAAATGGTTTAGGAATCAACCCATTATTCTAGCTCAGCACGAGAGCTGAGGCCATGTCATGTTGTATGAAGTGATTTTCTTCCTTTTTTTTTTTTTTCTTTTCTTTATAGTTTGATATTAATGGATGATATTTGTTGGTTTTCAAAAAATAAAAATAATTTTCTTATCTCGTTTTGTTTGTATTGTTTATTATTCACTGGTAAAATTAACTATTTTTTCATTGTTTATTTTATTTAGTAATTTTAATTAGTTTTAAATTTAATTTTGTTTGTGTGTTAAATTAAATGATACTTTTAATGTGCTAATGATCTTGTGGTACGAAGTGATTCTTCTATATGAAAGGTCATAGATTTGAGTTTTAGTGGAGATGATATTGACTTTTTGTACTTTAATGGGTTAAGAAAGTAATTATGATATAGTTTATAAATATATAAATTTTATATATTAATTAATATTATAAAAATTAAATAAAAAATAAATTCAACCCAATCTAGTTAATCAAACCAGACAAATAAAATGAGGCCACATACATAGTATTTTTTTACACCGTATAAGAAAAATTTTGTGAAATTGGGCTTGTGGGGCTACCATGAGGCCTCCCTATTGGGCCTTGTGATTTTTTTTTTTTTTTTTAAAATGACTTCAAGGCTCAAGCAACCCGCCATAAAAACCTTTTTGATCAGGATTCACAGTGCATTGTGTATTATGATACATATGTATGTATTTTATATTGTAAATTTTTATATTTTATGTTATAAAATTTTATACCAAGAGTGTAAATTCTATATTTAAAATAAATTAGTAGTGTCTTATGTTATGAATTTTTGTGTCTTGTGTTATGAAGTTTTGTGCCTATGAACTCACATTTTGTACCTAAATTAGATTTTAAAAATAAGTAAATATATAACATGTATGCCTTGTATTGATTTTTTGTTTCTTGTGTTATAAAATTTTGTACTTTACGAATATAAATTTTGTATCTCGTCGTTTTGATCAAAGGTCCATAATACTATGTGGACCCCACTCCATGATATAAATTGCCACAAATTTTATTGTGGACTATAATTCATTATAGTAACTCCGGAATATTATTTCAATTACATTTCAAGTTCGTTTGATGACATACGTTATTACATGATGTATGTATGTTATCATATGTGATGGTTTTATTGGGACCGTGTTCATCATAAACCGGGTATAGAAATACAGAACGGGGTAAGAAAGAGTAACTTTATTACCCGGAGCGCTAGGCCCAAAATAATGGGTACAAAGCCCGAGGTATAGGACCATAATGGCTATTGCTAACTATGCTGCTGATAGGAATCGAACCCACCAGGTATAAGGGTTGAGAGTATGAGATCAAGACTGCTGAATCGTAGTACTAGTCGTGTCCGGTGCCCTTTGGTGAAGATCCAAGACCCCTATTTATAGCATACCCCCCTCATCCCCCGTCATCCACGTGTCCCACGTCTATTATTCATGTACCTCCACTACGCGCACGCTGGCCAACATCCTCCACCATGCACGCCGCACCTACCTCCCCCCCCCCCCCTCACGGCACAATGTTCGGAGAGGGGGCGCCTCGCCGGCGCTAGGCCACAGAGCCCGGGTGCTGGCCATGCCTAGCCCAGCCGACGTCCGGCAGCCACCCGCCAAGGTTGACGCCCCGGCGGCGCTGGCCCCCTGCATCGGTGTGGGGAGGAGGGGTGTGACCCCCGCGCGAGCCCACGCCAGTGGTGCGCTGTCACGCTAGCCGTGTCGGGCAAGGGCGCACCGCCCGAGCCGATTCCCCCCGAGCTGGCGAGAGCCGCCGCCAGCGACACTTCCCAACGACACCCCAAACTCTTTACCCCGGCCCACCAGCCCCCTTCTGGTCCATGCTCTTTACCCCGGTCCACCATGCATGCTTGTCTTCCCAGCTTAACGAGACTTGGGCCAACCTCCTTCTTTCACTACCCCCACTTGGACCAATACTTTCCTAATAAAACGGACCTCCTAAGGTCCCATATGCCCATCAATATAGGATCTGTTTTTTAATTTATTTAAATTTCAACACACATTAATTTTATTATAACAACACTAAATTATCATTTTAATTTAACTACAATTTAAATTGACAATATAGTTATAGCAATATTAAAATGTTATTTTAATTTTAATACAGTTTTATATATTTTATAATATATGCATATCTCTGAAACGTGATACATAGTTCTTCAGTAACCGCAAAAAGAAAAAAACAAAAAGGCTTGGTATTGATGATGTTCCACGATATAACAACTGCGTCGCTCCTCCGGTGTACCGGCGATGGGAAATGATAATAACAAACGGAAAAGAAGTTTCGTGGCTGACTTTGTGTAGATGACAAAGCAGTACAAAACCAGTCGACTATTTCTAATTTCCGGCCGGGCAGTACTCTTTGATCTTCACTTGCATGAATTGAATATGCCGTAGTGGTATGATTTCCGGCAATTTCGCGCGAAACTGCAAGGCGGCTTCTTCGAGAATATCACTTTTGGGTTGCTTCAATTCATTATATCTTGCGAAAGATTGGGTATTTGCAGTTGCTCTCTTGCTTACACCACCTGCAATTCTTGCTTCATCTTCTCTAAGGTATTACCCAGACTATTTATGTTTCTTGTTTCTGCTTCATTTTTCTTCTGTAATTACTGGGAAATGGTAATTTAATTAGTTTACATGTTGTCAGAGAGGAATAATTTTGTGCAAAGTTGTATACTTTAACTGTTCCCTGTGATATTTCTGCATCTGGAATGACCCTTTAAAGAACTGAATTTGCAACAGAAACCTCTTCTTTAACTTCTTTAACTGAAATATTCGTTATATGAACCAGAGGGCTTGTCGTTGTGAGGAATGGGAATAAAAATTCTAATTCTTGCATTTTTAATGTGGGATGTGGCATACGCATCTGGCTTCAATGTGTCTGCTGATGGAACAGTGAGGGTTGGATTAAAGAGGCGAACTTTGGACCTAAACAGTTTAAAGGATGCGAGATTCTACAATAGTAATCAGTTGGATGGTAACATTAATTCGGGTTCTCTTAATGAACAATTTGTATATTTGAAAGACTATTTGGATGTTCAATACTATGGGGAGATTGGCATTGGCACACCCCCACAACGCTTCAGTGTTGTCTTCGATACTGGAAGTTCCAATCTTTGGGTCCCTTCTTCAAAATGCTTTTTTTCCGTGAGTTTTGTTTGATATAGTGGAACTGGAATTATAGTTTTCACAACATGGACCGTGCTATATATAAGCAATGTTCGTTTCTATGCAGATTTCATGTCATCTACATTCTAGATACAGATCAAGACTATCGAGAACATACACCAAAATCGGTAGTAGTCTGCTTTAATTTGCACTAATTTCAACTCTGTTGTGTTTATGGTCCTGAACTATATAGCTTAGTGAAATCATTCTAATGCTTATATGGGGTGTTTATGTAGGAAAATCTTGCAAAATTCCTTATGGCTCTGGGTCGTTATCTGGGTTCTTTAGCCAAGACCATGTCAGGATTGGAGATGCAGTTATTGAAGACCAGGTTGCGTCTTGGTTCCTTGAAACTATTAAGTATTGTTATAGTTTATGTAGTTAAATGGGAGCTATGAACTGTAAATCGTCTACCAGGTTTTCACCGAGATGACATGGGAAGGACTTTTCTCATTCTTGCTTGCACGTTATGATGGGATACTAGGACTTGGATTTCAGGACATTGCTATAGGCGGAGTAACATCAGTCTGGTATGTTGCGTGCCCTTATTCCTCAATATAATTGTTTTAATCTCTGGCATTACTTGTACAAACCGTATGTTTGCCCAATCCGGTGTTAATAGATAGAAACCTCTTTAATGGTTGCAGGTATAATATGCTGCTTCAGGAAACTGTTGCCCAACCACTGTTCTCGTTCTGGTTGAATCCGAATCCAAAGTCAAGCATTGGGGGCGAAATTCTGTTTGGAGGTCTTGACTGGACTCACTTCAAGGGGGAGCATACATTCGCCCCCGTTGCCAGAAATGGTTACTGGCAGGTAAACACGGTTGCACACTAGATTCTACTTGGCTAGTTTTACTTCTTAGTTCTTAGTCCCACATGTTGAATCGTACTTCGATTGAACTTTCCAGATTCAGGTGGGGGATATTCTTATTGGAAACAAGACAACAGGCGAGTTCTTTATACATCAGCAATATTGTACTATTTTATGTGTAAAAACGAAGAATTGGTAGTGTTTTTGACATGTTATCATGCAAAATTCCATCGACTTCTGAGTGCAGAATTGAAAATTTCTTTCAGGTTTATGTAAGGATGGCTGTGCAGCCATCGTGGATACAGGGACATCGTTTCTTGCTGGTCCAACTGTATGCACATATAGATTAGATCACTGTTAAATCATGTTGTTAGGCTCTAGATTTTAATTATTCTTACCATATATATTAGCTCGTTTTCAGACGATTTTGGCTCAAATTAACCATGCCATTGGGGCAGATGGAATAGTGAGCTGGGAGTGTAAACACGTTGTCTCAAAGTATGGAGATTTAATATGGGAACTCATAATCTTAGGGGTAAGTAAGCCTTAGCTTGTTCCACATCATACACTCGTAGTATTCGTTCGTTCTTCTTCTTCTTGTATCGATCTCCTTCATATCCTGCTTCTTCTCCCTGCAGTTCCAACCTGATTCGGTGTGTTACAGAATCGGGCTTTGCTTCTATAATCAGAGTGACGACGGTGTAAGGTTAGCTTCTTCTTTCTCCTCGCCTATGTTACCTCTCTTATCGATCTGAAATGCAATAAAACTCACTCTGCAGCGGAGGTCCTGAAATGGTACGCAAAAGTTTAAAGCTGAAGTCTTCTTCAGGAGACGAGAGAGCTTTGTGTACGTTCTGTGAGATGACGGTTTTCTGGATCAAAGTTGAGCTCAGGAAACAGAAAACCAAAGACAAAGTATTCAGTTATGTTGACGAGGTAGAGTTTCTGTCCCTGAACAGCACAACAGATTTTCTTAATCATAGTTTTCTGCTAACAATATAATATAATATATGCATCTGATGATTCGATTCTATTGGATCTATCTGTACTGTTGTGTTACAATAGCTTTGTGAGAAGCTTCCGAATCCAAGAGGAAAGTCATTCATAAACTGCGACGATGTCTTTAAACTGCCACATATTTCAGTTACCATAGCCAACAAAACCTTCCCCCTCGCTCCACGTGAGGTATGCTTTGTTTTCTCGAAATCATTTCCCCTTCTTCTTGAACTATTAAGTACTGAACTGGGATTTGGAAACAGTATGTGATCAGGATTCAAGAAAACCGAACCACTTTATGTGTTAGCGCATTCGCGCCTTTGGATGTGCCCCGTCCTCAAGGCCCTCTCTGGTAATTACTCTTCACTATTAACACGGAAAATACATGCAGAATAGACAGCTTTGATGCTGTATGTGTGAGATTTGGGTTTGCAGGGTTCTGGGAGGGGCATTCTTGAGAGCATACCACACTGTGTTCGACTTTGGGAAGATGCAAATCGGCTTTGCACAGACTGCATAGAATGAACAGATCATCGATGTTTGGCAATGGATCGGAGTTTTAATTATTAATGCTTAAGATGTGCTTGTATAGGCGTATATAGAGTTGCATTATATTGCAACTATATTATATGACTTGTGGGAATAATTGTGCTTATGAAAGAATAATCATGTATATAGGTTTTGCTCAGCATTTTGGCATCTACCTGGAATTGTAAGACATGCAATTGTGACTAATATGAATAAAGTTTCACAAATCTTCTAGTTTCACTGCTGGAAATTATGTAATTTCCGACAACCTGAAAGTGATCTTAAACCAAGTCGAAAGTAAAAAAGTAATCGGAAATAGCAACAAAGATTTTTCCGTGAAAATTAGTCGAAAGTAAAAAGTGATCGGAAATAGCAACAAAGGTTTTTCCGTGAAAATTATGGAATTTCCGACCACCTGAAAGTGACCTTAAACCAAGTTGAAAGCAAACAGTGGTCGGAAATAGCAACAAAAGTTTTTCTGGATACCAAAAGTGGTCGAAACAAAACTTTCGACTTGATTTAAGATCACTTTCAGGTGGTCGGAAATTCCATAATTTTCAGCACTGTTTATTTTAGTGAAGAAGAGCATTTTAATTAATAATAATAAAATGAACGGTTTATATGAGCATAAAATATAAGTGGTTATGAGTTACACTCATATATATAGATTGATGATGTATTCAAGGAAGTTGGTTTGAAGAGACAGGCCGGCGTCAGCAAAGTGACGTAATCTTAGCACGAACGGAGTGACGTGATTCCACCAGATCAGCCGCCGCTGCAAGAATATTCCGGCCGGGGAGAAAAGCTGAAGGGGGTTTCGAAAATGGGATCGGCGGCGAGAACAAAGGGTCGTTGCAGATTATTATTATGCGCTGTGTTGTCGGTGGTGGTGCTATTCAGCCGGATTCCCGTCCTCTCCGCGCTAGCGGTGACCGTAATCGACGTCGAATGCGTGTACGAGTACGTCCTCTACGATTCCGACACCGTCTCCGGGAACTTCGTCGTCGTCGATCACGACATCTTCTGGACCTTCGATCACCCCGGCATTGATTTCACTGTACGCTTATAATTTTTCGCCCCTCGCTTTGAATCAACATGACTGATTGAGTGAAACATGATTTTTGTATCAGAAAAAAACGTGACAGATTGGATGAAATATTATATTATATTATATCTTGTGTGTTTTAATTTGATTTGGGATTTATTTGTAGGTAACAGGACCAGGAAACAGTGTTGTTCTAGTATTGAAGGGAACATCTGGGGATAAATTTGAGTTTAAAGCCTCAAGAAGTGGGATGTACAAATTCTGCTTCCGAAATCCTTATTCAACACCGGAAACAGTGTCTTTCTACATTCATGTTGGCCACATCCCCAATTCACATGACCTTGCCAAGGATGGTTAGTAATAGTTTGTCCATTTATAAATGATATTGACTTCAAAATCCAAATATATATGCATGATTCATTCTTAATTTTAATTTGTTCATCAGAACATTTGGACCCCATTAATGTAAAGCTTGCTGAACTGAGGGAGGCCCTGGAATCAGTCACGTCGGAGCAGAAGTATCTGAAGGCCCGCGACGCCCGCCATCGTCACAGTAAGATCCTTAATTAAGAGATGTGTTCTGTTCTGTCTAACACAGTAAGATCCTTAATTAAGAGATGTGTTCTGTTCTGTCTAACACAATAAGATCCTTAATTAAGAGATGTGTTCTGTTCTGTCTAACACAGTAAGATCCTTAATTGAAAGATGTGTTCTGTTCTGTCTAACACGATCAGGCAAACGATCCAAACACCTTATTAATGTTTAATATTGTTCCTATTTATGCAGCAAATGAGAGCACAAGTAGGCGTGTGATCTACTACACAATCGGAGAGTACATTCTGCTTGCAGTTGCCAGTGCACTGCAATGCTTCTACATAAGAAAACTGTTCAGCAAGTCAGTTGCCTACAACCGGGTTTGATCAAATCTTCCCAACCTGCACCCTCAATCCACTTTCTTTCGCTTTACCAGAAGTCGAGAATCAAAATAATGCTTTACACAAGATAGCGGGTTTACTCCGTGCACACCTCGTATACTGGCTGGGTAGCCTAAAGAAATTGTATTTTTTTTCACTTTTAAACAAGACCACTGGTGTATGTGGTGGTGGGTTAGGCAGACGACTCCTACCTATATTTAAGTTATTAGGTAAAGAGAAACAGGTTAGCAGAGATATTAGGGATCAGTCTAATAGTCAAGTATAGAAAAAACAATGTAACTAGCTTTTACCCAAAAGTTAGTGAAATTTTGAAGCTAATAATAATGATTTTTGTTTAATTTGATGAATGTGTTAGTTCATGCTAACATACATTTGCTCATCCTCAAAACCCAAAATACTTCACACGTCCTACTCTAATAGGATTATTGAAAGTTAAATCGTGGTGACTCAACGACTTCATAAAAGAAAGAACTACTGTTTCGTGTCTACACGAATTTATCAACAACCTTGTTTCCAACATTCTTCAACTATTATCCAATCCCTCAACCCTAAAACCCAAACTTCTTCTTTTGATCTTGTTATTTTAGATGTTAAAAATTTACTACATCTACACAATGTATCAATCTCATTTGTCAAACGTTCTATGAATGGAGTAGCCCACTTGATAACTAGGTACTCTATTTTCAATACAGATCATAAGGAATGGTTTGAGGAACCTCCTATATATCTTCATTTGTAATGCTCTTTGTTGTGAAAAAAAAAAAAAAAAAAAAAAAAAAAAAAAAAAAAAAAAAACATTCTTCGTCTAATATCATATTGGGCCGACAACAATACGGGCTTGGAAGCTGATTTCAATTGGCCCAAAAGTTACCGGGTTAGGCCCACATAATCTAGGGCACGTGATGCGCATCTATACCTAGAAATTTTGTCGGGTTCTATGAAGGGAAACTTTGACTTTGGATGACACGTCATCCAAGCCCGACGAAATTATTCGCATGAATTTTAGGGAAAAATAATTTTTTTATTGCGATAATATTATTCTGAGTACTTGGCCTGTGGGCCTGTGTCGAGTGGCCACGCAATAGGCGTTAAAGCGCCGTTTGGATAAGCCATACCACTATGCCAGTAGACAGTAGTACCATTTGGACTTGAAATTCCAAAAGTACCCCCATGATACTCCTCGGATACTTTGGCTTACATTTCAATCCATAAAAAAAAACTCGTACACTTTATATAAAAGTTTTCTCCACCTAATCCAAAAAAATAATAATAATATTTTAAAAATTATGTAAATAAATTATTCTCTAAAAGAATTTATGGCGTGACATTTAAATTTAACACTTAATTAAATTTAAATTTTAGTATTTTTATTGAGAAATATTGTATAATGGGAGAATATAATGCTTTAAAAATGAATTGTATGAATAAATTATTTATAAGAATTTACAAAGTAATACTTAAACAATTAACTCAAGAGATTCTCTTGCTTATTGGACTAATATTTTTGGATGAATTTTGTGTTTAGTTTTTAACACCCATTATTGGTAGTATCGTTGAGAACTATATATATATATCAAAAAAATTAAAAATTAAAAATAGGCTACTTGATTGAACCATTAACAATAAATTGTGAAATGATCCTTTTAGATTGAGCAAGTTCATTCATTAAACTTGAGTATCTAATTATCTATCCTTAAATGATTGGGGATTATTCCACGTTTACTATGTTAAATTATCTCACCTATTAGATTGATTTTTTTTTATTTTTTTTGATAGACTCTATTCCTTAAGTTTGGATTTTCATTAAGGGCTATGCAAAATAGGAAATGTTTATCCAATTTAAAAGGATAAAATTTGTAAAACAATATTATCCATTATTTTAACATGTGATGAGTGTCACAAATCATTACATCCATTAAGTATTTGTGTATTTACAATTAATCAAATGAAGCTAATTTTAAGCCATTAATGAAGATATCGTGCAACTCTTACAAATGTACAATGAAACTTAAATACAGTTGATTCACAATTATCACCGGAAAGGGCATTTCTGGGAGTGAAACTTCCTGCGATTTGTTGTTATAACCATCTTTGTAGAATTTCCTCCAGTGTGTTCCGGTTTTTCTTCTACGCTGCAAAAACATAGACAGAGACATATACCGTGCGTGATTCAATCGATCAATCGAGGATGTTAGCTGTGTTCAATAAGTCGGTGGCGAAGAGCCCAGATGCTCTTCAAAGCCCCAACGATGCATCTGCGGTCTGCGCACTCAAAGATGGATTCTTGGCCAAGAAATTCGCCTCCACCCACTCCGGCTCCGTCACCATCAACCTCGGCGATTCCGGCATCTTGAACTATTCTTCTGTTCGTCAAAACCCCCTTCTTCCCAGGTCCATTTCTCCATTACCTGTTTCCTCAAAGATTCATTTTCTTGATCTGATTGTTTTGATATATTAGGATGATAGCATCTTTTTTTGATGATTTCTTGAGCTTCTGGTTTTGAGGCTTTATAGATCTTGAATCTGGATTTGCTGAGAGTTGTTTGTTCTCCCTGTTAGGTTGTTCTCTGTTGTGGATGATATATTCTGCTTGTTTCAAGGCCACATTGAGAACGTGGCGCATCTGAAACAGCAATATGGGTTGAACAAGACTGCAAATGAGGTGATCATTGTCATTGAGGCATACAGGACTTTGAGGGACAGGGGTCCTTACCCTGCTGATCAAGTTGTGAGAGATCTTCATGGAAAGTTTTCCTTCATCGTCTATGACAACACTTCAAAAACTACCTTCATAGCTGCTGTGAGCTTTTTGCCTGTCCTTTTGTCGTGTTTGTTACATTCTTATTGCAGCAAAAAATGTTGTGCTTTGAACTGCGCTCATCATGTTGTTTCCCTTTTGCAGGATCCCGATGGAAGCGTGCCCTTCTTCTGGGGTACTGATTCTGAAGGCCATCTTGTTCTCTCTGATGAGGATGACATTGTGAAGCAAGGGTGTGGGAAGTCTTTTGCACCATTTCCCAAGGGTATTCCTTACACACTATGCATTCAACCCATTCTAATTTGGCCAGCTACATAGTCTCTATACTAATTATAGCAAATTTAGAAGTTTATTGGGGCCGAGTGGCTGATATAGAATCAGCACTCATAGATATTTAATGATGGTCGTTCGTGTACAACTATACCGTGACCTATAAAGTGATTGAATGTTGGAGTTGTTCTCTTTCCTTCCCCGTGTATATGTACACCCATTATATTCCTCTCTTGTTACACCCCATGGTAGTTTCTATTCTTTAGAATAGATCAATAGAATACTCAAGTGTTCTTTTACTGTTTTTGTTCTGCTCAGGATGCTTTTTCACCACTTCTGGAGGCTTAAGGAGTTATGAACACCCTCTAAATGAGTTGAAGGCAGTGCCGAGGGTGGATAGCTCTGGTGAGATGTGTGGTGCCACCTTCAAAGTGGATGCAGAGTCTAAGAAAGAGGGAACTGGCATGCCTAGAGTTGGAAGTGCGGCTAACTGGTCTGATCAGTACTAAGCTGCTGCCCAAATTTCCTTCACAAGAAGGCTTGCACCTTGGTTTCCCTTTTGTTGTCCCATTTCAAACTTTTGTAAACCCCCCAGTGAATTTTATGGTAGTAGGAATTGTTAGACTATGGCAAGATGTTTCATGTGGCTATTGGTGAATGTTTCATGGTGAATACATTCAAATAAGCTACACGAGTTAAAGGCCATTTCTGATGTTTAAGAAATATATGTTGAAAATAAGAGTGAAATGTGTGCTACTGATATGTTACACATTTCCTTTGACAAACAAGGCTTACTGTTTGATGTAAATCTAGAGTTCATAGAGTGAATACACTTGTTTACATGCAGTTACTTTATTCCATGATCCTGTTTGAGATCAAGATCATTTAATCTAAGCATCAAAGAGTAAAAATTTACCAGTTCTGTTGTGCTATAGTAGTAGGTATGACTAACAGGATTGATATAGATATCAGAAATATGAGAAGAAATTGATTGGCAGGAGCATCACTCAGTTGTTGCAGCAAGAAGGAAACCACAGCTAGTTTTCAGTCCTTGACATCTGCAATTCCACCTGGAGTTATCTGAAAAACGTGGTTTTCTGTCAAGGAAACTTAATAATAGTCTGCTCTATGGATACTGAGTATAATTTACTTCACCGTTGAACTGATTTGTGGCATCAATTTGGTGTGATGGACTTAACTTAATTATGATGATACCCTTGTAAGAAAATTCAGAAGTAAACATTTAACAGTGTAAGGATATTGCTTCACTCTCGGGAAGATTCGGTGCATCAAACACCTTGCATACGCGCTGTTCTCCTTTTCCCTTCCTGAACATTAGCCTTATTGTTGCAGCATGAGCAAGTACATGCCCTCCTGCTGGCTTCTTTGGATCTGATATGAACACACCTCCTCCTGGATCAGCAATAACTGCACTCACAAATTCAATTGCATGTTTTAGCAATGTCTTGCAATTCTATTGCAGGATAACAAAGGAAAAAAATAAGTAAAATGTGACCAACTTATTTTGCACTTTTTGAGAATGAATGTGATCAAGTGTTTAGTGTTCTATTAGGAGCATTAAAAAAAATAAGGCTATATCCTGATGAAAACATAAACTGTGACAAACATACATATACATGTATCAAAAAGGATTTAAGGAAGCATCGGTTACTAAATTGGCATGCTCAAAATTTGCTTCAGACTAAATGGCTTACCTTGATTGGTCATGTAAACAGCAACATTAAATTCCTCAGCAATTTTTGTCAATCTGGAGAGCATCTGAGCCAACTTTTGCTGGAAATAAAACATATCCAAACAGGCATCATACTCTGAAAGAATACAACATATAAATATGCTACTGAATCATCTTAAGTTATATCTTTAGTACCTGGCGTTCTGCAAGTTCTCCTCTTCCTGTGAAATCTACTCGAAACAATGCAATTACCGAATCAACAATCTGCATTTTCATTTCAAACATATAAGCCAACTATTACCAGAATTACCTACATTAATGAAAAAGTGAAAATTTTGACCTCACCAGAAGCCTGAAAGGTTCTTCAGCCATTTTTGCTGCCAGACCAAGGAGTAGGTTGTATTGGTGCTCATATGTGTATGCACGAGCATAAATGATCTTGATGTATCATGGAAATAAGATTGAATAACAAGAAAAGAATTCAGTATTCAAACCAATTTAGTTGGTGCAGAAGTAGATGAAGTTGTCAAACACAATTAGACAATAAAATAAACAGAATAATTTTCTTTACATTGTCAAGAACAGCTCCGGCATCCATGCCAAATCTTTCAGCAATTGGCAGAATACGATCAGGTCGGCTACAAGTGCATATAGTTGAGGAAGGAGAAAATACTAAATGTACCATCTTAACTTTAATACCAAAAGAGACAAGTACAGAAACAATCAACTAGGATACAAAGTTCCCTCTGTGTCTATATAAGCAACCTTCCCATTTCCTCCTTTCATGCTAGTAGGGAGCTGTAGCAGGATAAGAAAATGAATTAATTCACTCAGGATCAAAATCTTACTATTGGGGCTAAGATATAGAATTTCATGTGGAGAAGAAGCAAACCTGAGTAGAAACACACAGAGTATGAGCAAGTTGTGTCTTCCCAGATCTGAACAAAATGTCCATTGAGCAAGGGGTTAGTTTACTAGCACCGCTTTAGTGAAATTTCCAAGTTTAGAGTCAACAATCACCTGAATTCCCCGAAAGCTTCAGTAATTGCAGAAGTTTCTATCCCTCCTTAACAAATTCAAAAGGTAGAAGACCCTCAAAAAAGTGATCAAGTGATTTGTATTACTGTGGTAAAACATTTGGAACAAAATCAGATAGAATTTATGAAAGTTTTACCTCCTAAGAGTTCATCAAGAGCCTGGCTTCCAGTTGTAACATGAACTACTGACTTTCTCTGCAATAATACAGAGTTTTTTTTAATGTAAATGCAGAACTAAGCATTACAGTTCCTATCATCAGGAGCAATTCAATTTTTGAGAGAAATCTTATTTGCAAGCTCTAATCAAGCAACCCTATTTCATGCAATATTGCTAGGCCACTGAATTTAGGTTTAAAAGGAAATAGAGGGCTTACTTTAAGTAGAGCATCACTCCCTGTGATGTAACCAAAGTTCTGGAAAGAATAGCAAAAGAGAGAATTAAGTACGTGCAGAAAATGAAATATGAAAGCATGATGCGAAATTTGACAATTTTGACCATCAGGAAATGATATCCTAACCACTATCTTCTCTGCAGCTTCACAGATCTTATCAACTTTTGCCTCAGATAATCCTTTGATTCCTGTCAAGTTCTGGAAATAACAACAGAATTCTAGTTTTAAAAACAAATAATGGACAGCGACAAGTTTCAGAAGAGGAAACAACGATTTCACCTTTTTGGTGTGCATCATCAATCCGTTGCAGGTATAGATACCTGCATCCTGAAGCTTCTTCACATCCCCAGCATTAATTCCATGGGATGTCACTGTTTAAAAGGTCAATAAACAGTTAATGAACTGAATCGCATAACAAATTCAATAAAGTAAAATTCCAACATTTAGCACAAGGTAGTGAAGCTTCAAATTGCACAAGACTTCACATAGAATGAGCTTGAAAACAAACAAAACAGAGAAGTTGATATTCAGCAGATATATAGAAACTTCACATTTTATATCAGAAAAACAATGCCAGGGAATTTGCTTTTGGATTTAAACTGCAATATGACAATTAGCGTTCAACCATATCTCTTGGACATTAGGTATGATAACATGAATCACAAACGAGGATAGTTCAGCAGTTTATTGTGAGAAATTATAATGCAAATTCGAAAATCAATAGAATTTTAAGTTTGAACAAAAATTAAATAAAAGGTGATAGAATATCTGTACAGGTAAAGAAACAGTAGGATCGGAAAAATTACGCAATTATCAGCTCGAAAATGAAAATAATACAGAAATTTGAACTCGTTTCCAGTCTATCAATAGTGAAATAGTGCACTGACAGATTATTCGGTGTACAGAATGAATGAAATCATGTACTTCTCTAATTTCAGTACATTACAGAAGTGAACTGAGTTTTTAAAATTTTTGCAAGTCATAACTCATGTCAGTTCCTCCAAAACAAAAAACGAATAGAGAGAGAAGCTTGATCACATATTTAACTTATCGGCATTCAACAGGATCATCCGTGATGTAACTCGGAGAAAAAAAAAAAACAGTAGAAAATTGTTAACTAACGGAAACTGATCAAAAATTTGAACAGGAACTCCGTGAACAAAACCAGAACGATCCTACTCCACAAAATCGAGCAGAAGAGAAGGAAACATAAGTTACATTTATCAATAGCTTCGAACAAGTCTTCTTCATCGTCGATCTCTTCTCGCTCCACAATCTGCAGGTGCTCTTCAGATCTGAAAACCAATAAAAACCAGACAAAAAATAAAACCGGAAATCGTCAGTTCACCTTCACATGAATTGAAATGCAAGAGATATTGAAGTTGAAGAGTGTAATTTAGGATTCAAATATTACTTGAACGCTAGCATTTTCGATTATCTCGCGTTTAGAGAGAGAGAGAGGACTGAAATTTGAATTTTTTGGAGAGTGAAGTTGTTGCTGGAAAAATGGCGCGGCCTTTAGGATTGTAGGTGAGATTATGAAAGTGTGAAGATGATTTTGCATTTGGGCGTTTTTATATGATGCTATTGGCACCTTGGCTGTTACTTGAGATTTGATCGCGTGCTGTTGCGGAATGCGCAGGCAAGAAGTTATTTGGAATCGTACACTTAAAAAAAAAATGAACATATTTATATTTCAGCCCCCAAAGTTTGGAAAAATTAGACACGAGTAAACAACCGGTCAAATTTTTCTTTTTCTTTTTCTTTTTCTCCCCAAAGGGTGAATCCCTGACCCCAAGAGCTCAACATTCTGACTTCACAAAATATTTGAAAAGATGTAAATAGCGGTGACTCAATGACTCACTAAACAGGACTAAATGTTAATGCGGATAAAAGATCTGCACACACCACATATAATTGTTTTTTTTTTTAATACATTTAGCATCCCGTATACTCAGGTCATCCCTTCGACTCTTACTATATGGGGAACTAATGGGGAAGGTCTGGCCTAAAGTGTGTCCACGTATATACAAGAGTTGATCTTCTTATTATAAAATTATATTAGCATTCTACTTACTAACTATTAAATTTGTTTCGATTTAATACATTTATGAATATTTATTTTTTGTTTATATTTAAAAAAAAATGAGAATGACATTAAACTACCAAATCAAGGCTCAAAAGCTCTAAAATACAAGGAGTAGCAAACCACTTACTAAAAAATCAACCATAAAAAACAGTTTCTCTACTTAAAACATGAACAATACAATTCACAAATTGTTTAGTAATAAATAAACAAATGTGAGGATTGAGGAATATAATAGACCTCACAGTTCTTTTATATCACAATTGTTACACCATGTACCAGGGTGGTAGGGTTCATATTGCATTAATGTATTATGAATCGTGATCCAAAAATTATGTGTCGTCTGCAGTTAACACCTTATATACTTGTAGTTAACAATTTATATACATGTAAACAAATTGAAGGCACATAACATGATAATTACAAACATATATCATGATAACTACAGAAACATAAACGGTTAACTACAGATACGAATATGCTTGTTAACTTCAGACACATAACATGTTAACCAACATCTTATGTGTTTGCAGACTATAGTAGATACAAAAATTGCTGACTACAAGTACGAGATGTGTTAATTACATATATGAATAGAATATGAATATTATTTTTGGACTAGAATCCACAGATGTGTTAATTACATATATGAATAGAATATGAATATTATTTTTGGACTAGAATCCAGAATACAAGATAGACCATGATCCATGATATAAGTTGCGTTTATATATATCCAATAACTATCATTAGTCATTATACATAACAATTTGATGGTTATTAAAATAAAAAAATAAAAAAAAAAAATTGATGGTCAAATTGGGTATATTTGTAACAATTAGCCTAGACTAGAAACCCAATAAGGCCCAGGCCTAATTCAATTCTGCTTCTGGACCCTGTTGTAATTCTCTCTCGAGAATTGTTTGTGCTTCTTTGATTCTTTCCAATAATTGATAACTGATGTACATGATTTATTTTTTTAGGGTTGCTTTGAAAACTTACAAAAAATTTCTAAAAAATAATTTTTAGAAATGGATTCATTTTTTAAATATTTTAATTTTATGGTGTTTGGCTAAATGCCAAAAAATAACTGATATACATGATTTATTTTTAGGGTTGGTTTGAAAACTTACAAAAAGAAAAAGTAAAAATAATTTTTAGAAATTGATTCATTTTTTTAAAAATATTTTTATTTTATGGTGTTTGGCTAAATGTCAAAAGACTATCTTTTTTCGTTTGACTAAAATTTAAGAAATTTGTATTTTTTTTTTTCTGTTTGATTCATTTTCCTAAAAATGAACACATAATAATAATAATAATAATAATAATAATAATAATAATAATAATAATAATAATAATAATAATAATATGTGGTGATGGGGTGGTGGTGGTGGTAATATGTAGTTGTTGGTGTTGGTCATTTGGTAGTGGCGGTGGGCGGTGGTGTGGTAGTGGTAATTACGTTGTTGGTGTTGGTGGCAGCGGTTGTGGTAGTGTTAGTGGTGGGGTGGTAGTGTGGTAGTGGTGGTAGTAGTGGTAGTTGTGTTGTTGATGGTGGTGATTGTGGTGGTTTGGTGGCGGTGGTGGTAATAATAATTCATAAATTAACTTGAAAAAGAAGAGAGTGAAAAGAGAAATGGCAAAATAAAGAATTCGGAAAATATTTTTGGACTAAAAAATTAAGAAGACATTTTCTACCAAATTGAGCTTTTTTCTTGGTGAACCAGAATGAATATTTTTCTTTGACGTCATTTTCATTGAGTATCCAAACACTTAAAAATTTTAAAAATGACTTTCGGAAGTCATTTTCCGAGTTTTCAAACGAACCCTTAGTGTATTACATTTTTACTTTTAGTATAGTACTTAAAAATAAATTTTTCGTACACTAAAAATGAACTATCAACATACTAAATATGATTGTGAACTATGATTCACCATATAATTTGTCGCTTTTTTTTTTTTTAAAGCATTTGCTCTAATTTTATATTTATAAGATGCACATTACATGATTAATAAAAAAAAGTCTTTCATTATAGAGGAGGTAACCCCAACTAAATTGGTACACTTAAAATAGTAATCACAAGGTTTTAAACCTTTTTTATTTAAGGCTATAAACTAATTAGGACAATCTAAATTGGTTTATGTCCTTATACCACACAGAGGCACACACTTGGGATAAATGTGAGAAAAATGATTTACCAAATCCGGCAATTGGATATGAATGCGTAATGCGTTAAAGATTGATTGGATGGGCATAAAGGATGGAACTTTAATTTACGTTATGAAAAACAGCAAATTGTAAACGTTAACACGTATTAGGTGGATCCGCTAATAAGGGATCAGAATATATAGTCCATAGAACATTGCATCAATTCATTGCATGCATTCCAGAGGTGTTGATTCATTACTGGCCTAATCATAATACTAATCTAAACAAAAGTATCTTCCTAATGACGGACAAACTGCATATTATATATCCGAGAATTGAACAACCCATGGAATGTGTTCATTGGAATGATCGAGATTAACACTATGGAAAGATAATTGATTATTAGTTGTTTCTTTTGTATATCAAAAGTCTATATTAAATATATATATGAGGCACCATAAATTGAAGATATTAAAAAAAATTATAAAAATATGGACAAAATCATTATTAAAAAAATGGGTAGGTAATGACGATTTGATTAATAGCAAGTCCTAACACATTATATGGTTACAAGAAATCAAGGTCGGAAGCTTTTGCTAAGGTTGAGAAGTATATTAAAGTTCGTGGGCCAAAATTCCCTTCCAAGGTGTTATAGTGTTAGAAGAAAGAACTCATGATGGGATTGATCCTGTTGACACAGCTGATGTGGCATTCGAACAATGACCAGTCAAGTCGCCCGGACATGTGTTAGCTCCGATGTGACTTGGGTTAAAGAGAAGATTAAATAGACATTATGGAAACCATGACCTTGAATAAGCAAGTCAGCACACGCTTAGATATGGGCGAATAAGGTTGACACAATGATATATAGACACCATATATCTATCTAATTAATTACAATCACAGTACCCACTACAAAATTCGTCCCATGTTTTCAACTCCGATCCTCACTAAGAAATTTCGTCACTCCTTTTAGTTGATGTTATCTGCATTGCTCAACTTAAATCTTTAAGTTGGTGTAGTCTATTTTCTAGGTCGTATTCAAAAAATTTATATTAAAAGAGAGGCTAAGGTAGAATCAAAGTAGGGGAGAATTTGAAGGAATTATGATTAATGTTTGGTGGTGCACCAACACAACTCCTCCAAATGATTGTTTCTGATATGATCTATCAGATCACATATGTATATATGTGTGTATAGACACCAGCTGGCACCCTTGCAATGTTATGTGCTCAATTAGTATTCAACAAATGGCGATCCTGGAATCTGCAAATGCAATTCACAGTGAATAAAGAAGAAGAAGAAGATGCTAATTTAATTAATTATGATGATCACACTATTTTAATTTTGGGGAAAGATGCTCTTCCCAATTCTTCTTTTGGCCCAGCCCTGAGCTTCTTGCTATGCAACACCTAGCTATAAACTATCCATGCAAAACAATTGGTCCCCTCTTTATGCCCTGCCCTACTTTGTCCAAAAGATCGAATTTCACATCCAACACTTTCGATGAATGATTTTATGTTTAAATATACACAAAATATATCACTTTTTAATTAAAATTCTTAATTATATATTTCTTTTCTAAATACTTTATATATGATCCTTTTAAAAAATATAAAAGATTGGTCTGAACACCATGAAAATTATGTAAAAGCTAAATCATAAAATGAGATAACTCCAATTAAGTTGATCGGACAATTGATTTAATAATCACAAGGTTCCAAGTTCGACTTCAATTCTCATCTGAGTTGTTTATTGGTCTTCTTAGTTTGAATCACAAGGAATCATCTATTGGTCTCCCTAGCCTGGTTTACCTAGGCGGGCTTCACCCATAGCGATTAGCGCACCTTCGCTTAGCGAGTGCGAATTTTCCCATAAGTCAAAACTAAGTCATGAAAGTACTAATTCCATATTAGAGAGAGACACACACACAATAACAAAAAGTTTATTGCACAAAGACTATTCAATTTAATTTAGATCAAGGACAATATATATAAGATTCGGAATGGCATTAACATATTTACTCCATAATAAACAATTGTATCGAAATTTATAACATTTAATCAGTTAAAATCTACACCCAGGTCTACGAGAGTTCGTTTGTCGGGTTCTATTACATGAATACTAATGAACACCTCACATCTTGGTAGTGGGAGACGTGCACCTTAATTGTAAACTAATATAAATACATCCCAATGACAGGACAACAACTATCGAGAACAGGCTATAAGTAGATCGCTAGTATTAGAGGAATGGATCTAGAGCTCTACTGTTATAACTTTATTATAACAAAATTATATTACGAATAATAAATATAAATGGGCATACAATATAAATCAAAATAATAAAGAA